GTCAAATGCTGCTACATTACAGCATGAAAGAACCAATGTTCGGCAAAGTTTAAAGATCCGCTTTTGCTTGATCTATACAATCCATTCTCGGCGCCACCGAAATCTTGTTTCGGGTCTCTTCTTTCTACCGTTAGACTTGATTAATTCTACTAGCGGCTCTCCAACTTTTTTAGGTTGACGAAATATCTATTTTTACTGTAATAATGTTTTTGTTAATATAAGTTGTAATACTGTTTAATATTTAGAGAACGTTCGCTTGTATTTTCATTTTCTATTTTCGAAGTCTATTTGTAATACCATGATAACAAAGTTAATCTCTTTTCTACCTTTTGTTAGCCAGCCCTGATTAGTCAAAATTAAAAAGTAATAACAGTTCAATAAGGAAAAATATGTATTTGTTCTATCCTTAAAAACGCCTAATGAGGGCGTTTTTTTAGAAACTTGTTAGGGGGAATGCACCTAGACAGGCTTTGAAATTTACTCACTTTTCCCCCTGGTGGCCATATATTCAAACTAGGTTATAAATGGTCTGACTGATGGCCGGTTTGTTTTTACTTCTTTAAGAAAACGTCTTTATTTATGCATATTTGGATCAATAGAACATGATCAAATGCTTAGTCAGTCAATAAGTAAATCAGTAGTAAGATTGCCTTCCCATGCACGAGGGTTGAAATTCAATGCGTGTTACCTCAGCACGCTTTAAAAATCCTTTAAGGGGAATCTAAATTAACCTATTCGACCTTCTACCATGAACCAATGCAAGCGAAATGGCAGGTAAAGAAGGCGTAATTAATTTGTTCCAGGTCGTTTTCGAACCTCAAATACAAATTCTTTTATTTCATTGCTCAAAAAATATTTAAAACGTGAAATTCATCAAGAAGGAACTGGTTAATGAAGGATCTAACTTTGCGCTGGTGCATATATTCATCGAAAGAATACCTTAATATTATTAGTTTGTGTTCGTGTGGGTGGTAAAATAATTACACAGACGAGGAAGAAATATTCTGAATACGATTAATCGAATTCCACTTTGCATGAAAAGTCTCAGCAAGTTGATTAATCCAAACTGAAGAAAAGATAGATCCCCTCTAAACGCATATTTCTTCCTAGCTAGCTACTGCCAAAACCGGAAACAGATTACTTTCTGAACTTTTGGAATTGAAGTACAGGTCGGAGCTAAAATTGTCATCCGTAAGAAATCGATATCTTTTTTACACCATCAGGACGCTCACAGTCTTCTCGATCACGCATTACTGGATTAGCGCAATGTAGCAGATTGCTACCTTAGTAAAGCCTGACTGAATCAGAAATCTCTGGCTACGCTAGTAAAGCCTGACTGACTCAGAAATCTCAATGGGAGATCCTCCTACATCTAGCTAGACTCCCAGAACCAGCTAAACCCCCAGCTATGAAAGGAAACAGACGTGTAGCACGGAGCACGATTATTCAGTACGGGTATTGCGGATAAAGTGTACACATAGGGGGCCTAATCATGATCAGGATGGCGGATTAGGTTAAACAAAGGTTAATAATTAGTCACTGTTTGTACGGTCGCACCACCCAATCCTGGCGTGCAGGCATGCGAGACGTGTCCCACAGCAATCTGAGAATGTAAGAATGTAACTCGGGCTAATTTATACTTATTAAGTATGTCTTTTGAGGTAAACAGATCTTTGACCTACATAATTGATTTTTGAAAATGACACTAATTTCCGAATTTTTTAAATGCTTGATTAATTGCTTGACTAGCCCAAATTGCAAGAAAGTGATTTCCATCGGTTGAGTTTTACTCAATTTACCACAATTTAGTAAATATGTTTTGGCACCTTTCTTGACGCCTTGCCCCACAGCATTCCTGACAGCTTCAACCATGATTCTCCGTGATCACACTTCTACATTTTTTGCTGTCAAAGTAAATAGCCTCTCTCCTGCTCCTGTTAACCCATAGCTCGTGTAATAGCACTGGGATGAGATCAGATATTGGTTCTTCTCTCTTCTATAGAATTAAGGCTTACATTGTTGCTGGTGAACGCTTTTTCCCATTTTTCACTCGTATTATATGAATTGTAGTATCCATTTATCAGCAATTTGGTGTAACTGTAATTAGTGGCAATAGAGCTACCAGGGGTAACTGATCATACTCCATTATAGTCGATCATATTTACTTCGTCAAAGAACGTGTCATTTTTAATTTAATAATGAGAATCTAACGTTACCTAGATTTTTCAAGTGTTGACCTTAAGATTTTTACGATATAATTATGCAGAAAAATTTAGAATCGTTCGGTATTCCTTTTTTGCACCCTATGTGAAGTAATGAATAGTTGTATTATTCTTAGATAATAATAGCACATCGAATACGTAATGATTACTCGTGTAGCGGATTGCTACCTAAGTTATGTATATTGTTTTGTAGACTTGTAGCGGATTGCTCCCTAAGTCTCGAACATGTAGCGGATTGCTACCTTCGTAAAGCCTTGGTTAAAGACTTGTAGCGGATTGCTACCTTAGTAAAGCCAGACCGGTTGAGAATTGTAACGGATTGCTACCTTAGTAAAGCCTGACCGGATTGCATTGTAGCGGATTGCTACGCTAGTAAAGCCTGACCGAAATCTCTATGGCAGATTCTCCAACACCTAGCTAGACTCCCAGAACAGCTAAGCTATAGCTCCACGGATTGCTACGCTAGTAAAGCCTGACTGACTCAGAAATATTGCTACTCTAGTAAAGCCTGACTAACTCAGAAATCTCTGGCTACGCTAGTAAAGCCTGACTGACTCAGAAATCTCAATGGGAGATCCTCCTACATCTAGCTAGACTCCCAGAACCAGCTAAACACCTTAGTAAAGCCTGACTGACTCAGAAATCTCGATGGCAAGATTTCCTACATCTAGCTAGACTCCCAGAACAAGCTAAGCTATAGCCTAGCTATAAGGGAAACTCATCTAGCTAGACTCCCAGAACCAACTAAGCTATAGCCCACATCTAGCTAGACTCCCAGAACCAGCTAAGCTATACCCCAGCTACAGCTAGACTCCCAGAACTAGCTAAGCTATAGCCCAGCTATCAAGGAAACAGACGTGTAGCACGAAGCACGTTTATTTAGTGGGTATATTACGGATAAAGGGTGAGCTATTCACCTCAGATCAGGATGGGGGATTAGGTTAAACAGAGGTTGATGATTGATCACGGATGGATGAGGGATTAGGTTAAACAGAGGTTAATGATTGGTCACTGTTTGTACGATCGCGTTAAACAGAGGTTAATGATTGGCCACTGTTTGTACGGTCATTAAACAGAGGTTAATGATTGGTCACTGTTTGTACGGTCGATGCACACAGAGTTGTACGGCCGCACCTCCCAATCTTAGCGAGTAGACATGCAGGCATACGATGACGCACAGAGCGATAACGTGTCCCACACTCGATGTTGAAAGAATTGCTAACGTTCATTCCAATATGGCCAAAAAATGGCAGATTTTGTTTTAGTTACGATGACGATGGTTTTTATTTTTTTAATTAAATACTCTTACTACTTTAAATACAAAATAGAAATAGCTTTACTGAATTTCATACTTACTTCGGAAAGCTATTAAGCCTAACCTCAGAATCATTGGACTCCTAAAATATGTCTTAAAACGAATGAAAATACACGATTTCCTTTCTAGTTAATATATATTGTACTCCGTAATTTAAACAAACATATACCTAATCATTTCTAACAATGAGCTTGGTGGTAATTGCCTCATTTTATAATAAGGGCCTGAATGACTTACTCTCACAAGCATGTAAAGTGTGAAAGATCCAATCCCTGAGGTAAGTGCACATCCAGTTAGCCAGCCAGGTGTGTGTGTGTGTGTATGCATAATGCGACCGCAAAGATTTGAGGTAATGCTACTGCAATACTATCAGGCTACTGGTTATAAAACCAACCGAGCATGGTGGAGGCGTGACCTTTTCCGCCTTTTTCGTGAAAAAATGAGCTGCACACACAAAGCTATTGTCAAGAATGCAGATATGTCGGATTGTATGCAGCAGAAGGCTGTGGACGTCGCCAAGGCGGCAATGGATCAGTTCTCTATTGAAAAGGACATCGCTGCTCATGTCAAGAAGGCCTTCGATAGAGAATTCGGACCCACTTGGCATTGCATTGTTGGTCGAAACTTTGGAAGGTAACAGTCTTTCTGCAGCAAACATATTCCAGTCTTTGGTTCTTATCAGAGGACGTTTTTTTATTTACAGCTATGTAACACACGAGGCAAGGCACTTTATCTACTTCTATATGGGTCAAGTCGCTATCTTACTTTATAAATCTGGCTAATTCTTTGTGTTTGAAGTTTGAAATAAATTGCTTAATGCCTTTTTATTGTTTTTCCCGTAAGATTACATGATGTTTTGTTCCTCTTAAGAGCTTATTATTATTAAAGTATAAATATTTTATTTTGGCAGTTGAGTGTGTAGCGAATACGACCTACATTAGTCTTAATTAATCTTCAGCAATCCTCTTTGACAGAATTAGCTTGTCTTAAAGTGGTCCAGAAATTACTTAAGCCACCTCAACAGCATCAAAGAACCCAAAAGTGTGGTATGAATGCCTTTTCTTTCGATTTATGGACAATGTTATAAAGCCTAGTCACTAAGATACAATCAATACTACTTTTTGTTGCCTCAAAAAATGGTAACTGATTGACTAAGGGGTCTCTGTACTTACGGTCGCACTTTCTAGACTGTTCGGACCCCACCAAGGTTGCATTTTTCAGCTTTGGCAATGTAGCTCACATCACAGGACTATGAAGTCTTAACGACATAGTTAATCAACATAATTTCTTGTCGAGTCAGAAAGATAATTGGGGTCAACAACTTAAAAGAATTTGCCAGATTTTTTACTAATTTCTCTATATATAATAGACATCAAAGTAATTGAATCAATAGAGATTCAATTAAATTAACCAATCAACGGTTTAGGTAACATACAGATGTTTACGTAAAACCTGAATGCTGTCACATCACCAGAAAAGACATTTTTAAAATGGGGTGGGATTGAGATTAGGAATCTTCAAGGTTGTTTTACTTGCACTAATATTGAGTTCGAGAATCTCCACTCTAAGATTATTGAGAGTGCATAAGCATTATTATTTAAACAGCCAAATATTGTCCATAGTGGTCGACATCTGCGCCTGCAAAAGTAGAGCTCATGACGAGCTTGTCTTGCAGTGTAAAATATGAACACTAATCGTCCTCCACCTCCCCCCCTCAAATAATAGTAATTATTATTATTCTTATTATTTCAAATGGCAGGCGTTTTGAATATTTACCATTAGCCATTTAGCTGACTTTGGGCTTCGCAGAAGGAGGATAATCAAAGTGAGAACAATTCGGGAGGGGGAACAGAAGAGTGATTCACAGATGTAGAGGAGACAAAAAGACACATAGGCAGAGAAAAGGTGAGATGAGTACTGTGGAAGCTGTGTAATATGACATACAGTGGGGTGATGGTAGATTGAAGTCAGAAGTCAGCTGCCGGTTAATAGACTTTTTTGTCGTATGAGTATACGTTGCCCAGGGTGCACTGCGTAGATGTAAGTCTATCGCACACCCTCAAATAATGCGTATCAGTGAGAGCGGCAGCTGAATGTGAGAAAGATTTTATCACTCAGTTGTCTAATTTTGTCTAAACTCGAGTTAAAGTACACTTGAAGTTCGTGACCTCATATTATTGATTTATGTTGCAAAAGTAGATCCAACCAGACAGTAAAGCCAATTAAGAATCAGATCAAGTTGGTTTGAGCATATATTTTTTGAACTAATGATCTGCCTAAAGGCTGGCAGCTTACCACAGTCTTATCAAAACGATAAGACGAGAATTG